TTTAGTGTAAGAAATCCATTTAGTTGAATTTCTTTTTAAATCCATTAAAAAAATCCTGAAAGGTTTGTTTTTTCTTACTTTAGTTATGTCTTCATTTGTTACATTCCTTTTCGATTGGATTTAAAATCTGAATTAATGACACAATTAATGGCCACTCTTTGATGAATTTACGCATGTTGTTGTTGAGCAGTGTGTATTATATAACTTACACATCTCCCCCCACCCTGCCCTGAGGTCAGCCCATTCAAACAGCATGCAAATGGTGGTTGAGAAAACCATGGGAACGGCAAATTGCTCCTTATGCCTCTGCCTGCTCCTCCCCCTTACCTTCTAGTTAAGCAGCCTTGCCTGGCTGTTTGTCACTCAGACTATCTTTGTCCAGTGTGCTGTATTTTAAGCGACACAAGACATGTGGCTCTGTGAGGCCGTACTTGGTGCTTTGAGCTAAAAACTAAGCAGTGCTGGAGGAACTACTTTGAAAGCAAAGCTTTACAAGATACCTGTTACTTCACACTGAAAGTTGACAAAAAAGTCACATGCTAGCAAAAAAATACCACTCAGTTGAAGTTATATAAAAAAGTGCTAAACAAAATAAAAATACCCCACTATTCATGGGAAAGTACATGCATAACTCACAAGTAAAAAAAATGGTTTTGTAGGTAGAGTTTGTCAGTGTCATGTATTTGTTTTTAAGAGGATCTATTAGCAGAAATGGAACATAATATTTATAGAAAAAACAGAGAAATAGATACCTTTTGCTTTTTTAGTTAGTTTCATTGCAACTGTCTATTGTTTCTCCTACATGCTTGGAAGGCAAGCGTTATTCAGACCTACCTGTCTCTCAAAGCAGCCATTCCTTTAGTTATGTATAACTTTAAGCCTTAATATAATTTAAATGAGTGAGTTATATAAAAATGCATCTTATGCTTACCTATAGAGACTAAAATAGTTTTTGTACCAGGTTGTAAAGACAAAACAGTCTGCATGGAATGCTTGGGTGTGAAAAAAGGTGTCCCCCGGTTCGATTCAGTTTGGTGATCCTACTAGTTCAGAATTGTTGAAAAAAATCTGAGGCACTCAATAGGGTACTAATTTAAGCCTTTATCTCATGACTAATTCTGTCTCATTTAATCACAGCAACAGTTAAAACATATTTTAGGTACAACTAAATAGAAATGATTTACTCTTTAAGCAAAGTATAGACTTGACCTAAGAGATTGCCCTGCTGGTTATGCAGGGATATTATTGCACTTTGGGACGCAAGGCTGTGGTTGAACTTTGCATTAGCATAATGAACAGTGTTATCGGAATTATTAATTGAAGGTGTGAGGAATTCATTGCCAGACGGATGCAATGTTTTGTAAATGGGTAGGAGTGACAATTGTGATTATTGATACATTATCAGAAAGCTTTAATCTTCCAAAAAAAGGATTATTTTTTAATAACTTGTGCAGTAGAGGGAGATGGTTGTGGATTAGGGTCTTCATCATGAGTGTAGCTATTGCCTTAGCTGATCTGCTTACCTCTGAAGTTAAAATAAATTGCACTAATTTATCTTCAGTCAAATTCCTGTATCACCTATATGGTTGCTGTTTGCTATATTTTCAAATTTCAAAGCAAACAATAAATCAGGAGAGGGATAATTCTCCTCAAATGACAATAATTAAGGCATGCTTTATAGATATGAGCCCATTCTGCTAAAAGGTTGTGCTGCTGCTGGTGTCAGTATTTTCTGCCTCTCATGTTGCTGTTGTGTCCTGTGTCCCCTGCAGAGCCTCTAAGGAGGAACACCAGCTGTGACGATGACCTGGCCCTGGGTGTAGAAGGTAAACAGCCTCCTATCCTGGACTTGTAAGGTTCCGTCCTCAGCAGGGAATCTTAACAGGCAAACAGACTAATTTAGGACCACAAGCCAATGATTTATCTACTAGCGTGCATCTTCCAACAACAGCAGAGAGAGAGAGAGCTGCCAGAATCGCTTGTGTATTTATACTGAAGAGGGTGCAGAGGCTACACGACAGTAGCAGTAGCGAGTTAGAAATTACATGGGGATGATCATAGTATTTAAATCAATATTTTAAACAATTATTAACACTAAAAGAAACTAAAAGTTGACTAACTATCAACCAAACTGTAGCAGGGAGTCAAACTTGTCAAACTCTGGAGCCTTTCCCCCTTACCCTGCAGCCAGGAATAGTGTCCACAGTCTCACAGGCAAACAAGCATTGTCTGACTCTGGACAGCCCCAAAGATTTTTTGGTATTCCTTGCCATACAGGGAGTAGTTAAGCATGTGCAACAAGTCTTGCGGGGGGGAGGCGGGGGGTAGCGACAGTGCCTGAATTGGACTGAAAAAGATGCCAGTACCACAATTCAGCACAATCCCTAAACAAAACATAAACCTAACCATAATTCCTTTGGCATTTGGCATTTGAACAAAGACATTTTCAGTGCTGTTTTTCTTAATATGTAAGTTGATAAGAAATCAGTGGCAATTATGAATAATTTAGTAAAATTTATTTACCGTTCCTTTCATTTTACCATTGAACAATTGGCTGACTAGGGAAAGCATGGACACTGGCAACCTTTATCATCTCTGGCATGTGCATTAATAAAACTGTAATAAATAGCTTTTATGCCCCTGTAAGTTTCAGAAATTTGAGCAACAATATTATTAGTCTTTTATAAAAATATTTTGTAAAATAGGGTTGGATCATTTGTTTAAATGTCCATTGTCCATAATGGACATTTTAAACCAATTTTACGCATATCATCAACCACCCTTGTGTCACTTACTGAAGGCCATACCATTTGAGCAAAAAGCAGTAAGCCTTGACAAGCAGAAACCACTAATATGTGTCGATGTGATGTGACTTTGAAAGCCATACGCCACTCAAAAATGTGTTTTGCTTACTGTACTCATTTGACTGTTTGGCTTTACTGTCGAATGGTGTATTGTGCAAAGTTTGAGTTTTACATTCATGGGTGCTGGAAGTTGTGGTCCAATGTGCTTTTTTTTAAGTGTGGTGTTTTTTTTTTTCAATCGAGTAAACTGATGACCCCTCGACATATTTTATTGATTATTCAAGGGTTATATTCAATACATAACAATAACCCAGTAGAAGAACAGCTGACTACACTGCTACAAGAGATAACTCTGTAATGAAATTGGCGCTATACAAATACCATTGAATTGGAATTGAAATGTTTAATTACGATGTTTCGCCTAAAGGGGCCATGCATTCATACATTTTAGTTTCCTCCAGTTTTCCCGGGGTGATGGGGAACAAGTTAATTTTCTCGAGATCTCGAGATAACGAAACCTTTGTTTTCTGAGATAACAATATAATATATTTGAGTCTCGAGATATGACTGTGAGTATGGATAACTGCCAGGTGAGTAGTGGGGTGCCGATCTTCGTGGTCAACAATGTTTTCTGGACACTACTCGACAAGCCTAGGTGGCGGGGTATGATGAGATGCAGCCATGGTCATCACTGGTCAGATTGGGCAGGGGGTCCAATTGGGAGAAAAATACAGAGACATTAAGTGTTTGCAGTAGGTCGAAACATAATTTTGGTGACCCACGATTTTTGCGTAATCGGAGCAGTAAGAGTGCTTGAACAGAAACTAGTCTACAATAAAATGTTAAGGCGGTAAAATGGCCAATCGGAGACTTTAAGAATAATATGTTTCAGGCATTTACTGGGCAGAGCTTACAGGCAGCAAAATCACAGAAATGACACGACGCTTATGGTAGCATATCAGCACGAAACTGGGGGATTAAATCCTCCTTGCAGTCGCTGTGGGTCTCGACTGGCTGCTCCAGTGTCCCTCATCATCAAATGACGTATATGGTGTGGGTTAATTCTTCCACTCTACCACCTATGGACTACATTGCCTTCAGTCCACCAGAGTGTGCTTGGCGCCAGGCTCAAGTGGTGGGAGGTAACAGGACTTTATGGATAAAGTGAGTGTGTCATGCATTTTTCAAAACACAGAGTGTTCAGAATTGCCCTTGTACAAAACTGTGCTGAAGTGTCAAAAAAAAGCCACCATGCTACACAATGAAGTGCACTGGTTAAGCAAGAGGAAAAGCAATGTGGACACTTTGTAAACGTATTGCGTCTCTCAAAATGACAGAAGTTTAAACAAATGTAAAAATCAGATATACTTCTTAGACTGTTTTGTGTCTGCTATCGACTTATCCAATTGACTTCAATAATTCTTATCCAAAGCCAATCAACCTTGTCTCTTAGACTCCCAACTAAGCTGCTTAAAGAATCTTTCCTTCCAGTTACTGATACTGAATATGATGCATCTTCTATGTCATTATGTACACAAATCTTTAAGGTAGCTGTAATTAAAACCCCTTCCTAAAAGCCCACTCTTGACTAGCACGGTTGTTAGCCAACTATATACCCCTGTTACAACCCAATTCTCAAAGAAAAAGGGTTGTGTTCGCCAAACAGTTTGTGTAACTTTCTACATAGCAAACAGCTGTATTTTAAGGATTTTCAGTCCAGGGATTTAGAGTTGCGATCATAGCACAGGAGACAGCACGTGGGTTAAAGTTATATAACGCTTTTAATTGCTTCCGACAATGTCTTCGTATTGTGTAGATCTAGTACGTGCATTTGACACCATTCGACCATTTTATTCTATGTACAGAGACTTGAGCATCTAATTGGCATTAGAGAAATAGAGCTAAAGCTGATTTAATCTTTGTCAGTGCGTTCTTAGTTTGGTACATGATAACGATGATCCGTCCAAAACATTAGTACAGTCTGAGTTCCTCAGGTTCTGTGGCTTGGAACTTGTGCAACTTAATGTTCAGATTTGGTATATTTTGTAGCAGAATTAATTATTAACTATACAATCAGCTGATGATTATTCAATTATCTAATAACTGTGTTGTTGTGTGCACCTTTGTCTCTGTCTCTTCATTCTCTCTACTCAAACTCCAAAACGTGGTTGTCGGGTGCGACTGATCCTGCCATTACATATCAACTTGGCATCAGTTTATATGGTAAAAAGTTTTTCATTAAAAAATGCAAAGATGTCTTAACAAAGCTCTCTGGGAAAGTTTATTTTAAAAGGCATTGCATTGAGTTAAAAGGACAGTCCAATTGCAGTCAGAAAAGAGCCGTCTGGGGAGAAATTCTGGCTGACATTTCAGGGGCGCTCATCACCCACAACTCCTCTGCTAAAAAATGACTGCTCTACTCTTTGTGTTGG